CTTCCACTAACAATCACAGGGGTTACCTCTTTGGGTCTTCCCTGTGGAAAATATCATTTCAGACCCCAGAAACAAAGGAACACCAGAGGGCAAATGAAGGAAGGGGAACCTCAGCCAGAGAACAAGGCAACTCCTCGGGGAGGAGAAGGGCCACGGCCAGGGCGACCCCGGGCATGGAAGCAGAACTTATCGTAATGACACAAGGTGGGGACTCACAATCTGCCTCCAGTTACATCTGCCATTTGTCCACAGGCATCTCCCAGAGCGCACAGAAAGTCAGCTACAGGGTGGCCATGAGCACAAGGGTCCTGCCCTCTTCATGCTGGAGGCCCCAGCTCAGTCCTCGTCTCTCCTTTGTCTTTCTCCCTTTCGTGGTGCTCTTCACCGCTGCCCGTGGCTCTGAATAACATCGGTCTCACTGACATCTCTACTGGTGGGTCGAAGAGACACGTCCTCACTGAGCTCCTGTCTTTCTCACGCGAACCTGCTTCACCTGCTGTCCTTCCCGGTGGATACCACCTCCATCCTCCCACTGCTGAGGCCCCAACCCCCTGGCCATCCCGGACGCCTCTTCCTCCCACACCCACATCCCGTCTGTCAGGAGATACTGTTCTATTTTCAAACCAGATTGAGAATCTGACCATTTTGTACCACTTCTCATGCTCCTGCTCTGTCACCAGCTACCCTAGCCTCCCACTTGGGTTACCACGTTTGCCTCCTGAGTGGTGTTTGGGCTTCCACCCCTGACACCTAGAGACAGCAAGGTGGTCCTGTGGAAATGTGTCAGATCGTGGGACAGCTCTTCTCGAAGGCACCAGTGTCTCCCCTTCTTGCTCCATATACAAGCCAGAACCTGGGCCCCTGTCCCGCCCCCCTCTCTCCCTCTCTGCTCCGTGTGCGCCAGCCACAGTGGCTGCTCCTGGCCCGAAGCTCCTCTCCCAGAGACCTGCACCGTGACTCCTCACTGCCTTCACATCTGTACTTCGTGCACATGTCCCCTCCTCAGGAAAGCCTGTCTTCCTGACACCGCGCCTGTCTTCACTGTCCCCAGCACCTCTGATCCCCCTAATGTGGCACAATTCTTTCCAAAGCACTGATCACCATTTAGCACACTGTATATTCCTATTTCCGAGATGTATGGCTCGTCGTCTGATTCTTCCCCCTACCCTGGAACGCCAGCTCATAAGGAAGGGGCTTTCGTTTTGCTCACCGATGTATCCTAGGTGCCTGAAATAGTGCCTGACACACACAGAGAGTGAGACCATAAATACAGTGGAATGAAGAAGTGATGGCCCAGGATGGGTGGAGAACCTGTTTCCTGAGGGGAGCGGACACCACGGCCTACGTAGTGAAGGCGAGGAGGAAAGAAAAGGCATTTGCGGGGACAAGAGTATAAATGCGGGGAGAGTTTGAGGCCAGTTGAAATAAATACGGGATTTGGTGAGGGAAACGAGAGTTGATTTCTGTAGTTTTAAAAGAGCCAAAGATGCTGAGTGACAGGTGAAAAGCCCTCATGGATTCCTCTGAGGCTAAAAGTGTGGATTCCTGCCAAATAGAACATATGTCTGGGAACGGATATCTTGTGATGACAGTGTGACTAGAACATTCTGGGAAGGCCTAGAGCAGCACCCTGGGAAACCACCCTGGCGCTGTGAACTTCCTCACGCCAGGGAGCGTCCAGAACCAGAAGCTGCCGGTGACCTGAAGGCAGAGCCACGTGGGGGAGGGACCTACCTCTGCTGCTTAGTTTGTCATCCACCATACTGGCTGCTACCTGAGTGCAGGGTCGCGCAGGACTGTGCTTGAGCGGGCCTCTTGAGGCTTGGGTTGTGCACAGTGATCAATACTCGGTGCTTACTTTCATCTGGCTGAACCTGTAGACCATATTCCAGAGTCTAACCATATCCAGGAAATTAAGGGCCTTCACAGGGTCTGTGGGCAGTAAGTTATACTGAGATATAACTGGTTGGAGACGAGGCTCTCCCAGCTCTTCCAGTAGGGGTTTTGGAAAACACGTCGTTTGCTTGGGTGCCACAGTCTCTCCCACTCAGTAGTGCTTTCCAGTAAAACAGACGCTCTTATTTCAGCCTCAAAACACACTGCAGGAAATATCATCACCATTCCTTTGACAGATGAGGAAACAAAGTCTTCGGACATTTTGCTAACTTCTCCAGGAAGAAGTTCTGACGTCCTCTCCCACACTGCCTCCTGGACTTGGGTGATATTATGGTTATTCTCTTTGTTCAGAAGCCATATTCATTGTGCGCCGGGTCTCTGGACACCTCCTCTTGTTGTCCAGCACACACACTGTCCCTATTTAATCCCCAGACAACCCTTCAGTATGACTTTTAACAAATTGCTCAGTCTGGAGGAGTGAAGAGAATCTCAGCATGGGATGGAGGGAGGCTGGACGAGTTAGAGGTGTATCAGAACTCTAAGGTGGTCTGATACACAATTTTTTGTTTTGAAAATGGGAAAAGAACCTGTGTGGTTACTGAAAATATAAATTACAGAACGTAAGGGTTGAACAAATCCTGGCTAGGGGGAGTACACTTGAGGGGGTTATGTGAGATGTATGAGTTTGTTAAAGGCATCTTCCACTGAAGAGACAGGAGTTCTGGCCCAGGGCAAAGTGAACGGGCCATACCAGGAGGCCTGGGTTCCAGCTGTGTGGCTCCGAAAGACATTTAAATCTCTCCATCAGCATCTTTAGGGTCAGCAAATTGGGGATGATAATTCTTGCCTGTCAAATTCACAGGGCAGTTAAAAGTTACCTGAGATAAATTTATGCACAGGTGAATTGTAAATAGAAAACCATTATACAAACATAAGGGTCTGCAGGATGATTTCATGCGCCGTTCTTGCCCTGCACACTCCCTCTCTATCCCCCACATAGCCACTCTTTCGGTAGAAATTTTAGACCCTAGTGACTTTTTTCTTTTTGCTTTGTTTTTCATTTAAAAACACCAATAGTTTGGGTGAAAATGGCAGGTTGAGTGAAATAGGCCTTGCCAACGGTGAGAACCACAAAGGACCCCCTCACAACCTCGGGATTGCATCTAGGGGAGCAGCTTGCTGTCACCTTCCAGCATCTTCCTGCCCCTGGGCTCCCAGTTCCTGGGCTCAGATTCGTATGGACCTATACCCTCCATCTCTTCCCCGTCTCCCCCCCTGCACGCTCCTTCAGTTGAGACCAGTTCAAGCTCCAAGCACAAAGGTGCCTGCCTTTAGAAGTGCGGGGGTGACTCCTGGCCCTGAATAGCACCTGACATTGTACAATGTACGGCTCCCGGACTGAAAAGCCCAGAGTGTGCTCAGAGTGGTGAGGTGAGGGGGGGTCGGGAGGGGCAGTGGGGGGGGGAGGTGCAGAGCCTGAGTAGGAAGATGGGACTTTTTTTTTAATGATCTGATGTTTTCCTGGGAGAAGTCAAGGGACAGTGTGTACACACACACACACACACACGCACACACACAGGCAGGCACGCGCACACACACACATACACACACAGCATGAGACAAAGACAACCCAGGGGGATCTCAGAGACAGAGGGCCATCAAATCTATAGCTATAGGGTGAGCAGGGAGGGTGCGAGAGGCCGATGGGAGGGGGGAGGGAGGGAAGCGCAACAGGCTCCTTCCAACGTCCATGTGCTGGAAGGGGGGCAGACGGGCTTCTAGACAGGGGAATCAGGCAGATAGGATAACATGTCAGTTGGACTGACTGGGGGCAAAATACGGAGCGGGCAGGGGGAGGGTAAGGATGCAGTAGGGGATGGTGGCAGTTGGTAGGGTAGTTTCAAACATCTTAGATCAAAACTCTACAGCGTCAGCTTCGTGCTGTTATTCGATGGTTCAGTGCATCAAAGGTTTGTGCAAACATTACCAAGTCTCTTAATTAAGGAAAAATAATAACAACAAAAAAATTAAACAACACATGTTAAAGACTAACCGCCAGAGGGCTTGCCTATAGATAAAGAGAGAAGGTTTCAACATGCCAGGTAACAAAAAGACATGTGCAGGGACTGGAAGGAACTGTATAGGAGGAGACAGCTCGGGAGAAGATGGCAGGAGGCCTGGGGCCGGGGGGCGGGGGTTCGTCTGAGGCCAGGGAGCCGGGGGGCAGGATGGTGAGGGGCTTGGGGGGTGGGAGAGAACTGGGCAGGTGCCAGATTCAGTTCTCTGGGCATCTTCACGTGGGAGTGAGGTGCTCATCCAGAGGCTGCTTCCACAGCGAGTGGGAGGCAAGGTCCCTGCCCCCGGGAAGAGCTCCGGGCGGACCACCCAGCCACCTGGCTCTTTGGCCACTCCAGAGACACGGGATCCCGACAGGAGTTCCGACATGGCCGGTTCTCCTCTTCTCTCCCACACAAGCCTGGGGGGCTGCGCTGCCTGCACGGGCTGCTGATGCTAAAATGGCAATAGAGCCCCTCCTTACAGTGTGAATGGAACGGGCTGGTCCTTGGGGCCACGATGCAAAGTCGAAGCCTTAACTTGGGCGCGGGGCGCAACTGGAGAGAGCTCCTTTCCAAGGTGCCATGGGGGTGAAGGGAAGACAGGGTAAGGCAGCAGTCTGGAGGTGGGGGTGAGGAGAGGGTTCGGTCCCTGCCCCAGCCGTGGCCCAGGGGTTGTAAATATGCCCTCGTTCTGGCACTCTCTGGCTCCCATAGCTGCATCCTCTTATACAGTGTGAGTCATGCCAGGCTGAGTGGAACGGGAGAGAGAAAAGATGCAGCAATCAGAACTTAAAAGGAAAGGGGAGGCCTAACTCGTTCCAAAAGTTAAAAACAAAACAAAACAAAAACAAACAGAAAAATTCAAAATAAAGCAACAAGGAAAAAAAAAATCCTTTAAACCAATTTAAACAAACAAATAAAATAAACAAAATGAAAATAAGGAGGTGGGGAGGAGAAAATAAAATGAAGAAAAAAAATGAGCCGGGGAAAAGACAAATGAGTGTTAGAGCAGGCACGGACAGTTAGGAACAGACGCCATGTACTTACGTTTACCTCGGTGATTGCTATATCAACAATGCTACCCACAACAATCAAGGCGTCAAATGTATTCCATGCATCACAGAAATAGTGCTGCATGGGGCAGAGAAGCCGAGGAAAAGAGAGAGAGAAGAGAGAAAAAAAAAAAAACCAACAACAAAGGAGAAAAACAAAACAAAAAGGAAGAGGAAAAAATGAAAAAAAAAAAAAAAGCATGAAAGAAAGGAGAGAAGAGAAAAAAATGAGAAAAGAAAGAGGTTACGTGGGCATATTAAATACTCTCTTACCACTCTACAGTTCTGGCGGCTCAAACCTGGGCAACCTGGTTCTCACAGGGTGGAGAGGCCTGACAAAAGCTGGGTTAGTACCAAGGTTCCGCTGGGCTGGGGCCACCGGGGAGGGGGCCGGGCAGCCCCCCGCACCTGCCCCTCCGCTCAGCTCCGGGCCCCTGGGCCTAGCGCAGCGGGGCAGAGCTGGGCCAAGCAGAAAAAAAGGAGGAGAAGCTCCCACTTTTTTTCCCCCCACAGACGACGGCAGGTTCAATAAAAAGCATGACTGGAGGGGGGTAAAAACAGGAAATTAAAAAACCAAACAAATAAAAGGAGGTAAAGAGAGAGCGAGTGAGAGAAAGGGGAAAGAGAGGAGGCAGAGGAGGAAGGAGGAGGCTTCCTGGGGAGGGCAGAGTCATACTCACATTAGTTTCACTGAGAATGACGTCAATTATGCTGCCAATTACGATGAGGAAGTCAAAAACATTCCAGGGATCACTAAAGTAACCCTACATAAGGGAGGGGCAGGCAGGATGGGGATTAAAAAGGAATATTAGACAGACAAGAACAGAGCAACATCACCATCAGAATCACCGTCCAGGCACCTCAGTGTGGCTGCTGGAGTTGTGAATGCCCGTACTGTGGCCAGGAGCCCAAGAGGGAAGCGGGTGGCCGGGAGGCGGCTGGTCCAATCCTCCTGCCCTGCCCTCCCCTGGTCACATGGCCACCCCTTCCTCCAGATCCATCCCACCTCACCACCCTCCTGCACAAAGGCTCTTTCTGCTTCCCACCGGGGCAGGGGGAGGGGGCAGGCTTGGACATGGGGGGCAGGCAGTGCGAGTCACAGTGGTTCAGGGACATGGTTGGACTTTCTTCTCAGTCCCCACTCAGCGTCTCCTATGCCCCCTGGTCTCCTCCATCAGAGGAACCCTTCTAGAGTCAGGGAGGGACACAGGTGTGTGACCCCCCTCGAGGTGAGTGGGCTGTGGTCCTATGGATGATCTGGGAATTCCAAAGACCCTGAAAACCACAGCAGTGCGGTCCAGAAGGGTGGCCAGGTCATTGGGGCTCAGCGGTGACTCATCTAAAGCTTGGCAATAGCAAGAGGATTGAATCATTAAAACAATACCTATAATATGCTGGACTCTTTGCAGTTAGAATCAGGGTCACCCCTGTTCCAGCACTGGACATGCCCTGGTATTTCCAGGGACAGCTCTGACCTGGCAAAGGTTTTATGAACTGAAAGGAGACAGAGTCCAGGTAAATCTTACAGTTCAGTAGTGTCCCAGGCAGTGCTTTCGGGGGCATCTCCTACGCACCTCCCCTAGGTTCCTTTCCTAACGTCTACTAGTTTGATGTAGAGTCCCTGTTGACATGCAAATGCCACCCAACGTGAATGAAATTATCAAAGCCCGAGAACTGGATTGATAGGGGGAGTCTGGGTAGAGAGTATGGGGACATAGACTTTGCAGGAAGGGAGTGGAGGCAGTCGTGCCATGGAAGAGCGATTATGGCACCGAGGGGGTAAGACCAGCGTCCTGACTTCACCACTTCACCCTGTACACTTAGATTTCACTTCTGTTCTGCCATATTTGGAGAAGGGAAGAGATGCTTTTGAAAGACTTTTTTTGAGGTCTTGGATAACTAGTCAACAAAGGGATAGGCTGTCCCAGATTTCCTAGAGGATTCCAGGATTCCCAGGAGGGCAGACCTGTCACAGAGTGGACAGGTGTCTTGGGTCTGGATCACCTGCCTCTCTGAGAGGTGTGGGAGTCTAGAGAGCACTGCCCTGTGGCCACATGGAGGTACAGGCTCACAGTTCGGGTAACCCCAGGAATAGGACAGTCATATTCCTCAGGAATGGAAAGGAAAGGACCTCGTACTAAAGGTACTTGTCTCCTTAAAAAAAGGACATTTGCTTCTTCACTTTTTCAGGGAATGTTCTGCAAAGGAGACCAGACAGGGCTGGGTTACATTTGTTCGGTAGGACCAGCATTTTCCTATTCTCTGAGCCACTAGTTGGGCCTTCCAGGAGATGGGATTCTAGAGGTTGGGGAGTGGGTATGAAGGCATTAAGGGTCCTCTGAGACTTTCCCAGACCTCTTTCCCCAGTTCTCTTGAAGGCTGCCAACTTTCCCTTTTAATTTTTTACTCACAAGAGCCAAGAGTCTGTGTTCTTCCATTTCCTCCTGACTCTATCCAGCTCCCTGAACTTCCCCACTTCCCAGCCATGCCCTCTTTCCAGAGGGATCGCAAGACATGCTGTCCTAGGGCTGTTATTCTTAGTGTGGGAGGTCAGGTCACAGGGAAAGGGGCCTCTCGGTTCCCAGGCATTTCTGCCAAAAGAAAACAGAAACGCCACGGCGGAAACTTTGGACAGCCAGACTGGAGAAGAAGAGGTTGGCCATGGTGTGGGTCAGGTGAGGGTCAGCTGGAAATTACGGCTTTCTTGTTGGCTTCCCAGAATCATTTCTGAATATACTAGAGCCTTGGAGGCAGAGGGAGACTGTTCTCTCCCATTTAAGTCACATGTTATGAGCAGGAAATAACCAATTCCTTCCCAGGTTCTTAGATGTTATTCACAGGGCAAATGGAGAAGACTGAGTTCTAAAGAAGGGAGGTAAAGAGTGAAGACCCCAAATGAACTGTAAATATGCATGTGTTTTAAAATTCGAGTTTGGAAAACACTGGGGGAGTCTCTCTCGACGGGAGTACCATCTTTGTGGGGAGAGCTAGTTCAGAAGGGAAGGGGAGGCAGGGTCAAGGAAGAGAAGGGAGAGAAACAGGCGCCAGAGCAGAGTCCAGGAAGGTTCAGCATCTAGCCTAGAAAACTTGGTAACGAAACATTACTTGGGTGTGGGGGCAAGAGGAGAGATAGGGAGGGGGAAGGCTCAGCGCTCAGGAAAGGAAGTTGAGTTGGAGTCTTCTCATTCGCCAGAGACCTGAAACAAAATGGGTAAGCCGGCCTGGTCTGCAACGCCTCTGAGAGAGGAGAAAAAGGGAAGGAAGGCAGAGAGTAGGGCAAAGGCCAGGATAAACACACAGGTTAGTTAGCTGCTGAGCACCAGGGGAAGGTGGACACCGAAAGGGACCCTGCCAACCTCCCGTTTGGGCATCGCTCATCACCCTTTCTCTGGGACTTCTTTGTGTACGTGTAGATGGAGGGAAAACACACACCAGTCCACTGCTCCTTGACCACGGCCCTCTCCCAACCTTCCATGGCAGGCTCTCACTGGTTGGGCTCTCGCAAGATGAATGCCTCATGCCTCGCCCTTGCCCTCACCAGGCTGTGTGGCTGAGACTTTTGATCCAGGCAAACTACCTGGGAGACCCAGTGCCAGGGCCTCCACTGGCTGCAGATACCCAGTCAGTTGCCTTATTGGACTGTGCTTGAGGAGATCTACACATAGCTAGAATGCAGGGGTGAGGGAGCATGCCAAAGGGGGCGGGTGACAGGATCCCTTTAAGAGGCAGATTTTTACTCCAACCCGTCCACCCACCTTCCCCGCTCCTCTGTCCCACAAGCCCATCAATTCTCTAAGCTGGACCATGAAGACGGTTTCAGATCCAGCTTTCAGCTCTTTCCTCCATCCACCTCCTCCTCCCACTCTCAACGGTCCTTCTTCCCACTCCATCCACACCCATCCCCAGAAACAAGGTGATCTCCATTTAGACACCCGGCCAAATCCTTAAGTGGGCAGGGCCTGGAGGAATATTTTTTCCCCTGCACTCTCTGGAGTGTAAGAGCTTAGTGCTCTCTCTCTCTCTCTCTCTCACACACACACACACACACACAAAACCTGTTTTTGCCTACCTCCTCATTTGCTGGAAACCACAGGTAATACAGATTTTGGGGGTGTAATGGAAGAAGGAGGGTGGGAAAAAAATCATAGGCTTTTTCTCTTAGGAGATCAGTTTGACCTAGAGCCAGGTTATACCTGTCACTCCTTCTTTCCCTGGTGATCAGGTCCCAAATGGTAGAGTAGAAATCAAGGTTAGGGAAAGGGTTTTCCTTGCCCTCCCTGAAATGGTTAACCAAACCTCTTAATGTCCAACTCCCCAGAGTCAAGCAGGGCTGATCACTCAGACGGTATGGTGTTTTGGGGGTGAGGAGGCTTTCCCTTGACATCCTTAAATCCTGCAGATTTAGTGGGTTTTCCCCTTTCAAATTCCCAGCCTCTGGGGATGAGTTTAGAAGATGGGCCTCTTCTCTGGCCTTCCTGGAAATGCTCTTGTGTGCATCCACTCAGGCTGATGAGCAGCCACCCCTGTGATCTGCAGTTGCTTAGACCCTCAGTATGACCCATTCTCCTGAGTGCTGCTGACCCTCCACTCACTGGCTGAGGTGGGTTGAGAACATGCAGACAAAACTGATATTAACTTTAGCAAATCATTATTGGAAAGGAAAAATTGTCACAAAACACCATGTTAGGCATTTTGAATGCACAAGAATTGTGGATTTTCCTCTTTTTTGGATTCTCTGTGCCCTGATTCACCTCCATCCTTGAAGCTATTCCAAGTTGAAAGAGCCAGTATTAAGGGCATGGTCTCTGGAGGTAGGTTGTCAGTTCAAATTCTACTTCTGGCGCTAATAAGCTGGGTACTCTTGAGCAAATAACTTCACCTCTTTGTGCCTCAGTTTCCCCACCTGTAAAATGGGAAAACTATAGGGTTACAATGGGGATTACATGAGACAATACATGTAAAGCACTTGGACTTGTGCCTGGCCTGAAGTAAGCTCTAAATAAGTCTGGATGACTGTCAGTGTTAACTCGAGTTGATCTACCTCTCTCCTAGTTAAGCAGGATTCACGGGGTCCATTTTGGGGGTGGCACTGAGTAGAAGGGCAGGCAAAGCCCAGGTGTGTGGAGGAAGGAGGGAAGAAGGTTCTGGAATCCTGAACTTACCTTTCACCAGCATCTAGGGCCTTTTTGCCCATCTTGAGGCACTAGTGAGTAGTGTGCTGTCTGGAGACTCTTGAATGAAATCTGGCTGGTACTATTTTGAGACTGATGACAGTTTGGAAGTTGTCATGACTAAATTTTGTTAGCTACAGGGTCATGTGCACAGTTAACTGCCAGGTTCTGGGAAACCACTATTTTCACTAGGGGAGACCCAGGCCCCCTCCTTCCTGGAGGGCCGGGAGGACAGGAGTGGGCTGCCAAGCGGGTCTGTTTCCCACCTCTGATCCCGGGGAGCAGGGCTGCTGCGGAGAGGATAGAGGCACATGCCTTTGCCCTTGAATTCTGGATTCTCAGCTCCTCCCTGCCTGGCACAGAGGGCTCCTCTGTGATCTCAGAGACAAAACAAACTTTAAAACAGATTGGTGGTGAGAACGTATCGCAGGAAAATCTGCACACCTGGGAGCCTGTTGTGTGTTCTTGGGGATTTTGAGGTAAGGGTTCTTTTGTTGTTATCACTTGTTTTTTTTTCCTCTTCTCTATCCCTGCCTGCCCATCTTCAGAATCTACCTCTGTAAAGCAAAGGAACCCAGAGGAGGTGATGAGGA